TTTTAACTGAAAGCAGCACTAGCTACTTGGTCAATGAATACCAAATGTTTCCTTATAAGGAAACAGTATTACCATTGTAACATCTTAAGCTAGTCAAGGGTGTATAGTGTAGAATCACTGAATATTAAGCCTGGTCAGTACCTAACTGGGTGACTGTTTGGGAATACCAAATGCTGTAAGCTTGGATGTGTGGGAAGTGTAATGAATAATGGCTTGGAATCGTTGTCAAGGGTGTGTAAAATGCCCGTTTCAATGAACAAAGAAGTACCAACAACCTGATTGTTTGCTTTAGTACATAAGAAACTAATACTTACGGTTAGTAAGGTGTATGCCAGATTATGATGATATAACAAATACACTGCGATTTTAGCATTGAGATCTTTTTCTCTTGTATTTTTAGTATAGTCCCTTGAGAGTTACTTTGTGTGTTTCATGCACACACACACACACACACACTAGTAAAAATACATAGTACCCTATGCAAGGTATGACTCGAAGTTTCATGCTAATGCAATTTTCAGGTACTGATCTTTCTTTACAGTTTTGGTTAAATCAAACTTATGCTTAAAGTTGAAATTAAAAATTAGAAATTCTAATGTTCGTTTAAAAGAGATGTTTACATTTCTTACACCAAAGGATATATGTATGTATGTGAACACTTACATGTACATTTATTTATATTTATTCATTTGATTATTTCACAAAACAGATAATTTGGTTTTGTCTCATTAGACCAAACAGTTTCAACAATAAATGGATTTAAAATTTTACCAGGTACAAAATGAAATATTTAAACATAAATTATGTTTTAAAATATAGATTCAAAATGGGGGAAAGAAAAGAAAGAGAAAGGGGGAGAAAAAGAGATATGTCTGTCTGGAGAGATATATAGAAAAGGAAACTACTGGATGAGAGTAGATAATATGTAATACATACCCAAACACACACCTAACCATATAAGTGTAAACAGGCACATAAGTGCATCCCATCAACTGTACCTAGATACATACACACAATACATATACATATAAAAACATACAAAACATTATAAACACACGTTCACATATACAGAATATACACACTAACACAAATATAAAAAGAAAACATACATAAGTACAATTGTATAATCATACATACAAAAAAAAATGGAAGATGTATACAATAGATAACACAAGTAAAAATAATTTGTAAATTGAGGTTATATATGATGGAAGGAGGGAAACCACATGAAAGATCATACATGAATAGTGTGACTGCTCATTATAAAAACATTGTTTCCAACATCCTGCTGAAATTCCTATATAAACCTTTTTCTGGTTTATATTTTCCTTTGGAAAAATAGTGGCTTCATATACCACATTTTCCAAAGTGCAAATCCCTCCAACTTGGCAGTCAGCTTTGACCCTACAATTACAACCTCCGCTTTCATAATTATCATTTGCTCTGTTTTTGCATTGAGCGCTCTCTGGATTTATATCCTTTTTGGAATTATCCATGCGGATTACCAAATAAGAAATATATACAATTTGATTTATTTATAGGAGAATAATGCTCAATATTGGTAATAGAGCATATATAGATAGACAAATATAAAAATAAAGATCAACACTCAGTTTTATGTTTCATTGCAATCTTTAGGCCATACTTTACCTGAACATCTCTTTGAAATATGAAACTGTCACCATACAGTGTTGATTCCTGTGTCAATGCACAGACTCTTATATAAATACTGTGTGACTATATAATTTTTATTAAGTTACAATTCTTGATTATATTATCCTTTATATGAATAGCGTACAGCAATTTTTATTCTTCTTTCTTTCCACAGACCAAATGACACTTCAAAAGATACTGCTTTTGGTTTAAAAAAGGGAAAGAAAAAATATTGAGTATTAATTTGGAAAATGCTTATTCTCCAGTTTGATTACATTTATTTCAGAACATTTATCTTAATGACAGTTTTTTTTTTCTAGCAAATGGGTTAGTTGTCTTGTTATTCAGCTTGCTTCATTGTTGGTCTGAATATTGCCAGTTAACTTTGGAAACCCAAAACAATTCATTTTTTTTTTTTCTTAATACTGCAGTATTTTCAGAAAGCTGTTGCTAGATAAAACACAATTTATTCAATACTATTTATGGAAGCTTGTTATTATAGTCAGAAAAAGAGTTAGTATTCACATTTTTTTCTCTCTGATCTTAGGTAGCATTCTTAATTCACTTGAATAGTTATGATCTTGAAGCATTTTTTTTTTTTTGTTTACTGATTTTTCTTTGTGATTTTTCTTTCTTTCCGTACATGCCATGGAGCTTTATTCATTGCAAAATTGAGTTGGTGCTTAGTTCATCAATCTTACTCACTCTTGGATTTTCCTTGAATCTTATTTTCCTCCTCATTTCTCTCCTCCTTTTTTCCTTTTATTCTCCTCCACCATTCCCACATTTCTTCTTCTTCTTCTCCACATTTCTTCTTCTTCTTCTTCTTCTTCTTCTTCCCTCTCCA